CAATTAGGCTTAAACCAACAAGCCTGTGTAGCCCTTGGCTGACACGGAATGCCTGTGCCTGGGCTAAATAATAACCAGAGCTATGCACTTTCTGATGGCCAAGGGATCAAACAGCAGCAGAGTCTCATTCTCCAGCATTGTCCATTTGAACCTTCATCACCCCTCCAGTGACTGGTCGACCATTATTCTTCTCTGCCTACTCCACCATTGCAGACTGACCTGCCTGCCTATAGAATGTATAGGGGGGGTAAGTCTGTGCATTAGCATACATCATATATTTTCTTATATAATTTCTCATTAGCAGGTAAGAAACATTTTTTTTTTACCCATCCAAATATTTCCAGCAAGAGTTGGGTGCAGCTCTGCTTTCCCTGCCTATAGAATGTCTATGAGGGTATGTTTATACATAAGTATGCATCAGCATAACATTTCTTATATTATATTTATTTTTTATTATTTTTTTTCACTAGCTCGTGATGAACACTTTTTTACCCATCCAAATACTTCCAGCAAGCGTTGGGTGCTTCTCTCATCTATCTGTCTATAGAATGCATATCAGGCTAGGTCCCTGCATAGGTACACATCAGCATTGATTGTCTTCAGTTTTATATTTTTTTAATTGTTTTTTTTTTTTTTGCAGTCACCACTCCACTATAGTAATTGCAATTTTCTACAACATTTCTACATTATAATGAGACTATGGCCAAAGTGACAGCAATTATTGTAGGATTTTAGGGACACCCACTATAACAATTTACATTTTCTACAACATATCTACAGCATAGTTAGACGATGGCCCAAGTGACAGCAATCACTCTAGCATCCTATGGACAATATGAGCTGTGTCCTGCAATAACCTGCTTTAGAGAGTTAAAAGATAATGAGGAGAAAGTGATCAGAGCTGCACCCAACTCTTGCTGGAGATATGTGGATAGGCAAAATGAGATGTGTCTGTGAGAAGTAATAATAGAGGAAATCAATGAGGATACATACTTAGGCACAGATCTACCCTCATATACACTTCTTAGGCAGGGAGATCAGAGCTGCACCCAATTCCTGCTGGAAGTATAAAAAAAGGAGCTGTGTTCCTCAGATGCCAATGAGAAATAATATTAATAACAAGAATACTATAATATAATATAATATCATATACTCATTACTAATGCATACCTGTGCCCAAATGTACCCTCTAACCCATTCTATAGGCAGAGCTGCACCCAATTTTTGCTGGAAGTGTTGTATCACTCAGGTGCCAGTGCCAAATAACAATATAATAGAATAAAATCAATGCTGGTGCATTCTTATGCACAGATCTATCCCCCCCCCCCCCCCCCCATACATTCTATAGGCAGAACTGCACCCAAACCTTGCTGGAAGTATGAAAAAGGAGCTGTGTGTCTCAGGTGCCAGTGAGAAATCAATACATAATAAATATAACATAATATAATATAATATAATATAATCAATGCTGATGCATACCTATGCACATATCTACTCTTCTATACATTCTATAGTAAGAGCTACACCCAACTTTTGCTGGAAGCATAAAGAGAGTGTTGTATCCCTTCAGGTGCCAGTGAGAAATATTAACATAATAGATTACAATATAATATAAAGTAAAACAATATAATATAATAAAATCACTGCTGGTGCATACTTATACATATATCTACCCTCCTATACATTCTATAGGCAGAACTGCACACAACTCTTGCTGGAAGTATGAAAAAAGGAGTGCCAATGAGAAATAATAATATAACAAAATAAATGCTGGTGATCAGAGCAACACCCAACTCCTGCTGGAAGTCTTTGGGTGGGTGCAAAAAAAAGTCTTGTGTCTCTCAGATATCTATTCTCCTATACATTCTATAGAGCAGATGATCTGGCTGGTAGTCTTTGGATGTTCCTCAGGTGCCAGTGAGAAATAATAAGATATCATAAAATCAATGCTGGTGCATACTTAAGCACAGATGTACTCTCCTATACGTTATATAGGCATGCAGATCAGCCAACTCCTGCTGGAAGTCTTTCGGTGCTTGCAAAAAAGACTTGTGTCCCTATCTATCCTTCTATACATTCTATAGAGGCAGATGCAACTCTTGCTGAAAATCTTTGGATGTCTCTCAGGTGCCAGTGAGAAATAATAATATAATATATAATAAAATCAATGCTGGTTCCTACCTATGCACAGATGTACTTTTCTATACATTTTATATACAGACAGATCAGATCAGCACCCAACTCCTGCAAAAAGACTTGTATCCCTATCTATCCTCCTTTACATTGTATAGGCATGCAGATCAGAGCAGCAGCCAAGTCCTGCTGGAAGTCTTTGGGTGGAAGCAAAAAAGACATGTGTCCCCCAGGCATCTATCCTCCTATACATTCTATAGAGGCAGATGATCTGGCTGGAAGTCTTTGGATGTCCCTCAGGTGCCAGTGAGAAATGATAATATAATATATAATAAAATCAATGCTGGTGCCTACCTATGCATAGATGTACTCCCCTATACATTCTATAGGCAGGCAGATCAGAGCAGCACCCAACTCCTGCTGGAAGTCTTTGGATGGGTGCAAAAAAGACTTGTGTCCCTCAGGCATCTATCCTACTATACATTCTATAGGAAGGCAGATGATCTGGATGGAAGTCTTTGGATGTTCCTCAGGTATCTATCCTCCTATACATTCTATAGGCAGGCAGATGATCTGGCTGGAAGTCTTTGGATGTCCCTCAGACATCTATCCTCCTATACATTCTATAGGCAGGCAGATGATTTGGCTGGAAGTCTCTGGATGTCCCTCAGACATCTATCCTCCTATTCATTCTATAGAGGCAGATGATCTGGCTGGAAGTCTTTGGATGTCCCCCAGGCATCTATCCTCCTATACTTTCTATAGGCAGGCAGATGATCTGGCTGGAAGTCTTTGGATGTCCCTCAGGCATCTGTCCTCCTATACATTCTATAAAGGCAGATGATCTGGCTGGAAGTCTTTGGATGTCCCTCAGACATCTATCCTCCTATACATTCTATAGAGGCAGATTATCTGGCTGGAAGTCTTTGGATGTCCCTCAGGCATCTATCCTCCTATACATTCTATAGAGGCAGATGATCTGTCTGGAAGTCTTTTGGATGTCCTCCCATTCAGATCTGGCATCTATCCCTCAGGCCTATACTTCTATACAGGCAGGCAGATGATCTGGCTGGAAGTCTTTGGATGTCCCCCAGGCATCTATCCTCCTATACATTCTATAGAGGCAGATGATCTGGCTGGAAGTCTTTGGATGTCCCCCAGGCATCTATCCTCCTATACATTCTATAGAGGCAGATGATCTGGCTGGAAGTCTTTGGATGTCCCTCAGGCATCTATCCTCCTATACATTCTATAGAGGCAGATGATCTGGCTGGAAGTCTCTGATGTCCCTCAGGCATCTATCCTCCTATACATTCTATAGAGGCAGGCAGATGATCTGGCTGGAAGTCTTTGGATGTCCCTCAAGTACCAGTGAGAAATAATAATACAATATGTAATACAATCAATGGTGGTGCCTACTGCTGTACTCCCCTGCATTCTATAGGCAGGCAGCTGCAACTCTTGCTGGGAGTCTTTGAGTGTTCCTCAGGTGCCAGTGAGAAATAGTAATATAGTAAAAAGAAAAAAAAACCTCAATCCTGATGCCTACTAGTGCACAGATCTACCCTGCATTCTATAGGCATGTGAAAAGCAATCCCCATTTCTCCCGCTTTTCATTGCCCTTTTGCAATTATTTTTTTTTTTTTTTAATAGATTTATTTTTTTTTTTTTTCCCTTTCACCTTCCACCACCTTATTGTGTCTGGCTGAAAGAGCATCGTGGCTTGCTTTTTTTTTTTTTTTGCTTTGCTTGCTTCCAGGATTCTTGCTGCCGGCGAGTAGACTGTCTCTAGGACCTGGGCAACGCACGAGTCGCAAGCCACCCTGTACCACTAGGCCGGCCTGACCAATAGGGTGCAAGGGGAGGGCTGGGAGCCCTGACCAGTTAAACACAATCTCTCTCCTTATAAGGAGCGGCGTCGCCATGGTAACGTGTGCTAAGTTGCAGCAGTGGTGTCAAAGTTCACTATATAGAGAGCTCAGTGAGCTGATCGGAGAGACACCACTCTGCCAGCCCTTTCCTACAAATCGCAATCACTTCCTACAACCTCCCCCCCCCCCCTTCACCACCACCACCCCAACCAGCAACCACCCCAACCCCTCTCCTCCTCTTTAGCATATTTGATCACTTTGATTCCAAGCTCCTGCCTTTTATTTGAAGGTTTATTCTGCATGAAGGATGTCCAGCAAGCTGTGAACTGCTCCTCTTCTTCTTTTTCTTTTTTTTTTTTTTTTTTTTTTGTGGTATCCTTCTTCTTCTTCTTGTTATTATTGTTGTTGTTGTTATTTGCTGGAGAAAGAGGAAGAAGAGAGGAGAAGAGAGGAGAAGAGAGGGAGAGTGGACTCTTTTTTTTTTTTTTTTTTTTTTCTCCTCTTTTTTTTTTTTTTTTTTTTTTTGTGTGTGTTGCCTTTGCATGCTTGGAGAAAAGGAGAAGAGGAGAAGAAGGGGATCTGAGCTGGAGAGGCTCCCCTACTGGCTGCCAGCGCTGGAGGAGAAGCAGGAGAGCGGGGCTCCCCCTGTAATCCTTAACCCTTCGTCTGTCTTCTTCATGGCTTTCCTGAATGGCTGACTGTGATGATGTTCCCAGGACCTGGCCCCGGCACTAAGTCTGCTGCACCTCCGAAGTGTGCTGCTGCTCCAGCTCCCCGCTACCACCACCTTTACTTTACAACTCATCTAATTGCCGGCTCTTTTTTTTTTTTTTGCTCAACATCCCCCCCCACACCTCCCCAACCCCCCCCCCATCCCCCCCCCCCCCCCCCCCCCCCCTTTCTTTTTTTTTTTTTTTTTCATCTATTAAAGCTGCCTGATCCCACCAGCACCATAAGAAGAAAAAAGCAGATTGGAATAGGTTCCCCTCATTAGATATGGCAATGGTAGTGGGTGCGTGGCGAGACCCTCAGGACGATGTGCCAGGAAGTCAACCTTCACAGCCCCCTCCGGGGCAAGGGCCAGGGGGGGCGCCGCACACCCCGCAGACCCCGGGGCAAGGAGTGCCCTCTACCACCCCTGCCCAGTCGAACCCGACCAGCCAGTCCGCACAGAACCAAGGGGAAAAGCAGCAGCAGCAGCAGCAGCACATAGAGTGCGTGGTGTGCGGGGACAAGTCTAGCGGCAAGCACTATGGCCAGTTCACTTGTGAAGGTTGCAAGAGCTTCTTCAAGCGAAGTGTCAGGAGGAACCTGTCTTACACTTGTCGTGCCAACAGGAACTGCCCTATAGACCAACACCACCGCAATCAGTGTCAGTACTGCCGGCTCAAAAAATGCCTCAAAGTTGGCATGAGACGGGAAGGTATTGGGTTTTCATTTGTTTTCTAGTCTTGCCTATTGTTCTACATGTCCCCCCCCCCCTTTTTTTTTTTTTTTTCATCCCCCCTCCACTATTCACTGTAACTTTGCATGGCCAGGGTCTGTGTAGACTTTGCTTGCTTTTTTTTTTCTTGTTTAGCCCTTCATCGCTCCCCAACTGTCATGATTAATCATCGCCTCTCCCAGAGCCTTGAGGAAGACTGCTAAAAAGAGAAATAATAATAAAAAAAAATACTATGTTATAATATTATTATTATTATTGTTATACAGGAGTACTATAGCGCCAACACATAGCGCTGCGCTCAGTGGGAGTCAGTACTGTGGCAAGTAGGAGTTAGGAGGGCCCTGCTCCTGAGAGCTTACAATCTAGGTAGGGATTCCAGACTATGGCAGTGAAGTGGTTAATGCAAACAAATGTATAATCTCTTTCATATCATTATTAGTGATCTGTGTAGGGATCTAGTCTAGGACAGTGAAGGGGAAGCTATGGTATCTTTTTTTTTTATATCTTTTTAAGTGTTCTATGTGGGGATCTAGTCCTGGACAGTGAAGGTGAATCTAAGAATATATTGTATTTATATTAGTGTTCTATGTAGGGATCTAGTCCTGGACAGTGAAGGGGAATCTAAGAATATATTGTATCTATATTAGTGTTCTATGTAGGGATCTAGTCCTGGACAGTGAAGGAGAATCTGAGAATATATTGTATCTATATTAGTGTTCTATGTAGGGATCTAGTCCTGGACAGTGAAAGGAATCTAAGAATATATTGAATCTAAGTGTTCTATGTAGGGATCTAGTCCTGGACATTGAAGGGGAATCTAAGAATATATTGTATCTTATTAGTGTTCTATGTAGGGATCTAGTCCTGGACAGTGAAGGGGAATGTAAGAATATATTGTATCTATATTAGTGTTCTATGTAGGGATCTAGTCCTGGACAGTGAAGGGGAATCTAAGAATATATTGTATCTATATTAGTGTTCTATGTAGCGATCTAGTCCTGGGCAGTGAAGGGGAATATATGGTATCTTTTTTTAATCTTTATTAGTATTATATGTAGGGATCTAGTCCTGGGCAGTGAAGGGGAATCTATGGTATCTTTTTTAATCTTTATTAGTGTTCTATGTAGGGATCTAGTCCTGGACAGTGAAGAGAAATCTACGAATATATTGTATATATATTAGTGCTCCATGTAGGGATCTAGTCTAGGATAGTGAAGTAGAGTCTAACAGGGTACAGTATTTTTTATTTTATTAATGTCCTATGTAGGGATCTCGTCCAGGGCAATAAAGTGGGATCTAACAATCACAGGATCTTTATATCTTTATGAATGTCCTAGGTAGGGATCTAGTCTAGAGCAGTGAAGTAGACTCTAACAATGCACAGGATCTTTATATCTTTATGTCCTATGTAGGAATCTATCTACAATGCACACTATATTTTTATTTTTTTATTAATGTGCTATGTAGGGATCTAGTACAGGGCAATGAAGTGGGATCTAACAATATACAGGATCTTTATGTCCTATGTAGGGATCTATAGGGAAATGAAGTGAGATCAAACAATGCACACTATCTTTTTATCTTTATTAATGGGCTATGTGGGGATCTAGTCTAGGACAGTAAAGTGGGATCTAACAATGCACAGGATCTTTGTTTCTTTATCCATGTCCTATGTAGGGATCTAGTCCAGGGCAGTGAAGTGGAATCTAACAATGCACTGTATTTTTATCTTTATGTAGGATCCAGTCCAGACAGTGAAGTGGGATCTCTCAATTTCTAGTATCTTTTTGTATCTTTGGTGTTCAGTTTAGGGATCTACTCTAGTGGAATCTAGGAATATTTAATATATGTTTTATCTTTATAATGTTCTATGCAGGGATCTAGTCTAGGGCAGTGAAGTGCAATCTAAAAAAATGCAAAGCATTTTTTTTAAATTAGTGTTCTAAGTAGGGATCTAGTCTAGGGCAGTGAAGTGCAATCTAGCATTGCATAGTATTATTATTATTATTTTAAATATTTTTTAATGGTCTGTTTTGGGGTTCTAGTCTTGGGTGATGAAGTGGTTAATGCAGAAATGCATAGTATTTTTTTTTTATTAGTGTTCTAAGTAGGGATCTAGTCTAGGGCAGTGAAGTGCAATCTAGCATTGCATAGTAGTAGTAGTATTTTTATATATATAGATTTATTTTTTAATGGTCTATTTTGGGATCTAGTCAAAGGTGATGAAGTGGTTAATGCAGAAATACATAGTATTTTTTTTTATTATTTTTTATTATTAGGATTTTTTAATATTATTCATGCCTTCTCCAAGTAAAAAAAAACTCCCTCTCCATGGAATAATCTGCCTGGCCCCTGTGACCTAGAATGTCATTCTGCACAGGAGTTAAAACTGATTAAGATCAGAGGACAGTGAGGAGCAGGCTCGTCTAACAGCTCTCCCTTTTTTTCCCCTCTCCCCTTCCATTAAAAAAAAGGACTATTTAAGTTCCTGCTTTGCTGTGCATGTGTGTTTATATGTGTGTGCATGTGTGTTATATGTGTGTGCATGTGTGTGTGTGTGTGTTTTTATGTGTGTGTGTCCCCTTGTGAAAGTCAAAGCCTTTTGTGATATAAATTTAGCCAAGGACAGAGAGGGCTGATAGTGTGCAGAGCTTGCCTGAGCAGCAGGCTGTCTTCTGTAGGCTAGGGGGGTTACAGCCTCCCTTTGTGTTCCAGCTGCTCTGGCTAACCCTATCCTGTCTACAATGTCACGCACATCTCCCCAGAATGTGGCCAACTCCAAACAATACTTTCCCAAATCCCCACCGTCCCCCAAACCTTCCCCTTCAACCTTCCCTTTGCCTTTTTTTTTTTTCCTGCATGCAATTGCAGTGAAAGAAAAACACACCGAGGCCTGCAACTGCTAGCAATTGTCTAGAGATTCAAATCAGGGAGATTTCTCTGTTCTTGTTTTATTTTTTTTTTTTTTTTTTTTTATTATTACCATTATGCTTTTTTTTTTTAAAGTCCTGTTGTAACAGGGACAGAGCTTTTGTATTTAAAAAAAAAAAAAAAAAAAAACAAGCATAATTAAAATCAATCCGCAATATTATATGTGTAGATGGGAGAGGGAAACAGAAGGACATTATGAGCACATATGGGAGAATAAATTGGATGTCTTCTTCTTTTGGGGATGTCAGCAGATTTTTTTTTTTTTATTAAGCAAGCACAGCAGCGATATTTAAGCAATTGTGGAATGGCTTTTCTTATGTGTTGTTGTAATTTAATCATAAAACACAACAACAACAGCACAAATCTGAGCATAGGGAAATAAGAAACCCTGTAGCAAGAGTTGATTTTTTTTTTAAATTATTATTTTGTTTTATTTTGCTATTGTTTTAACTGTAGAGGAAATAAGAAACACTGTAGCAACCGTTGATTTTTTTTTTATTATTATTATTATTATTATTTTTTAAAATTTTGCTACTCTTTTAGAAGAACTAAGAAACACTGTAGCAATAGTTGATTTTTTTAGCATTAATATTTTGTTTAATTTTGCTACTCTTTTAGAAGAACTAAGAAACACTGAAGCATTAGTTGATTTTTTTTATCATTATTATTTTGTTTAATTTTGCTACACTTTTAGAAGAACTAAGAAACACTGTAGCAATAGTTGATTTTTTATCATTAATATTTTGTTTAATTTTGCTACTCTTTTAGAATAACTAAGAAACACTGAAGCATTAGTTGATTTTTTTATCATTATTATTTTGTTGAATTTTTGCTACTTTTTAGAAGAACTAAGAAACACTTGTAGCAATAGTTGATTTTTTTATTATTATTTTGTTTAATTTTGCTACTCTTTTAGAGGAACTAAGAAAACTGTACAATAGTTGCAATATTTTGTTTATTTTTTTTTTTTTATTATTATTTTTTTTTTTAATTTTTGCTATTTTGTTAGATGGCTACTCTTTTAGAGAAACTAAGAAACTGTAGCAATAGTTTATTTTTTTTTTTTTATTATTTTTTTGTTTATTTTTACTCTTTTTACTGTAGCAATAGTTTTTTTTTATTATTATTTTTTTTTTTGCTACCCTTTTAGAAGAACTTAGAAACACTGTAGCAATAGTTGATGTTTAATATCATTATTATTTTTGTTTTGTCTTGTTTTATGTTGTTTCTAGAGTAGAACGCTTTGCATGACAGAAGTCAAACAGATACAAACATATTAATTGTTGCAGTTTCTTCTTTATTTACTGCAGCCGTACAGAGGGGCAGAATGCCACCTACACAGCCTACCCATGGCCAGTTCGCCTTGACAAATGGGGACCCTCTCAACTGCCATTCCTACCTATCCGGATATATATCTCTTCTCCTGAGAGCAGAACCCTACCCGACCTCTAGATTTGGCAGCCAATGCATGCAACCCAACAACATTATGGGCATCGAGAACATTTGTGAACTGGCAGCCAGGATGCTCTTCAGTGCCGTGGAATGGGCACGGAATATTCCCTTCTTCCCAGACCTGCAGATCACAGACCAAGTGGCACTGCTCAGGCTGACCTGGAGTGAGTTATTTGTCCTGAACGCTGCCCAGTGCTCCATGCCACTCCATGTTGCCCCTCTCCTGGCCGCTGCTGGTCTCCACGCTTCCCCCATGTCTGCGGACAGAGTGGTGGCCTTTATGGACCACATACGAATCTTCCAAGAGCAAGTGGAGAAGCTCAAAGCATTACATGTGGACTCGGCTGAATATAGTTGTTTAAAAGCTATAGTTCTCTTCACTTCAGGTAAGAACACTTCCTACTATCATCCTAGATTTTTCTTTTCACTGTTTTTTTTTTTTTTTTTTTTTTTTAAATTGTAGCATAATAAAATAAAACAGATCCCACACTTTGTGGGGATCAGTGACCCCCTCTTTAAATGTTAAAAGTACCACCTTCAAGTCCTATAACAGCAACAAGGCCCTGACTTCCTAAACCAACTTGATCAGAGCACTTCCTGTATTTGTATTCTTCCAAGGAGGTCAGCTAGCTTGAAAACTGTATTTCCACTTTTGCATTCACATTTGAGGACCCCCTCCACCCCTTGTATGTGTTCCCATTCACACAGCATGCCTACAAATAATCATAGTACCAAAATATATATATTTCTTACATTTGTAGTTGTTTGCTTGGAGCAAGATAGTGCATAATAGACAGCTTTTATTACTTTGAATAGATAGTAATGTACAGATAGGGGGGGGGGGGGGGGGCAGTTTTTGTGAGCCAAACAGACCTGGACATTTTTAACCCTTTCACTTGGACATATATTATACAATTTTCCTATTCAATTTCCTTGAGATTTACCTTCAACTACTTTTATGGTTGAACTGGGTGGACTTTTGTTTTTTTTTTCCAGCCAGACTATGTAACTATGGCCTGCCTAACTGCATACACATTGAAAGTTTGACCTCTCATTCTATGGTTCTGGTAAATCTAAAGGCAAATTATACAACGTATGGCCAACCTTAGTTTACAAGTGATAAAGAAATCTGCCCGCACAGAACAGGCAGATTTAATGATGGCAAACTCAAGTCTGAAGCCCCCCCTCATAAACTGAGAGTAGGATTTGTAAGTCCAGGAGTTTTCTGAGCATGCAAAAAAAAAAGTTAAGACTCAATTTTTTTATTTTTATTTTTTTTAAGTGCTGCTATGTGAATAGGAACATGTCATTCATACAAAAGTGTTATCCCAACTTGGCTGCAAAAGTAGAAATATATTTAAAGTAATAGTAAATGGGGATCAGCATTTGAAGAACAACAAGGGCTCTTCCTTGCCCCTGCGTCCCCCCAACCCCCCCCAGCAGCCCCCTTTACCACCACTGAGACTTCTGTAGTTTACAGCCTGACTGCAAGCTGAAGGCAGGAGACCTTGTTTGTTTAACTCCATGGGCCCGAATCATTAGGATTCCAAAGTGTATTTGTGAATCGGACGAGTTAAGACAGGCAGTTTGGATTTCACTGCTGAACTGCTGTAACTTTAGACAGAATACAGCTTTTAGTGCAAGCAAGTCACACCAGTGAACCCACAGGCAGCCAGCAAACAAGGAGTGGGGGCAGGGAAAATACACATACAAAAGTTTGCTGAAGAAAAAAAAAAAAAAAAGTTCACAGGGATGAGCCTGAAAAAGAAAAAAAAATCTGCTATTAATATGACCCACAGCACCGCTGGTTTGTATTGTGGCAGCTATAAACCAGTAATGAATGCATTATGAAATCTAATTAGGATATATTGTAGGTTAAGCTGGGTGAGGGATATATCTGTGAATAATTAACTCTTCAGGCTAAACATTATACCAAACGAGCATTTAAAAATGCAAAGGCGGTTCAGCAGTGTTGTGTCAATCTCTGTTTTTATATGTGTATATATAATATATATACGTGTGTGTGTGTGTGTGTGTGTGCTACTACAGTACATGAAAATAATAATTCAGTGGACTAAATAAATAATAAGCCCAGACTTAAAAATGCAAGAGACTGTCTAAATGGGTTCAAGGTATAGGAAAGAAATTAAAATAAATGCAGGCACTTAAAATGGAAAACAAAATAAGTAAAAAACAAAAACAAAACTATATATATATATATATGATATAGGAAAGAATTTAAAAGTAAAGCAGGCACTTAAAGTAGCAATGTTGTGTGTGATAATTTAAGTGGGTAGGTAGGTATATATATATATATATACACTATATATACACTATATATATATATATATAAATATATATATATATATATATATATATATAGTGTTTGACAAGCTAAGTATACATATGAAGAGGGGTATTCACTCATTAATAAAAAGAGTTTTTATATATATATATATATATATATATATATATATATATATCTTAATGTGTGTGTACCGGATAGATAGAGAGATTGATTGACAGATATAGAGAGATAGATATATAGAGATAGATAGATGATAGATAGATGATAGATAGATAGATAGATAGATAGATAGATAGATAGATAGATAGATAGATAAAATAATTTCCACTTTGAGAGAGACAAATAGATAGATAGACAGATAGATAGATAGATAGATAGATAGATAGATAGATAGATAGATAGATAGATAGATAGATAGATAGATAGAAGATAGATGGATAGATAGATAGATAAAATAATTTCCACTTTGAGAGAGACAAATAGATAGATAGATAGATAGAGATAGATAGATAGATAGATAGATAGATAGATAGAAATCACTTCCACTTTGAGTGCCTCCATATGCATGCTAAACTCTTCTATCCATATGGTCCTGGACTTCAACTTCTTACACTGTATCCACCTAATAGTTTATCATTTCCACTGAAAGTGCCTCCACTTCTTTTATTTTCTTTCCTGTAGCTTGAGCCCCCCATTTAGGCAGTCTTATTGCCTCTTCAAGTCTGAGCTTATTATTTATTTAGTCCATTGAAATATTATTATAATGTACTGTTAGTAGTCCATAGCCACCCAGCTCGCCCCAGCCCCCCTCACCCCCTCCTCTTAGTAACTTGGAAGAAGAGGGGGGGGGGTTGCTTGTAGCAAAATGTGGTTAGGAATGTAACTGTGGAGCTCCAAGTCACTGTACTGTATCGATCCACTTTAGTGTGGATTGTCATCCTTTCCAACGTTTAGTTAATGACAAGCTTGTATGTGTAAACCTTGCTTGGAAACATGCTGTACACAGAATGTGATCTATAATTTTTAATCTGTGCTGTTCATTATGTCATATCAATGTATGGCTCAAAGATGTCCTTTAGGGGGTGGAGTGGGGGGGGGGGGGTGATTATGCCACTTGTTGGTTAACCTTTCTTAATGTCAGGCAGGCCTGTAATAGTTGTCATTTCATTACAGGCTCAGATTCAGAAACTAGAGATCACCCCCAAAAAAAAATAAAAATAATAACCCCCCCCCCAAAAAAAAAAATAATATTTTTGTTTCCAAAGTACATGACTCAAATCATATGCATGCCTTTTCTTTATAACAGCATGGGTAACAATGTACATGTGCTGCCCCCAAGGGTCACAACCCAGCCTCTGGTCAGCAGCATTGGGTGATTTAAACCCCCTAGCTGCATTGTGTTTTTTCTTTTTTTTTGGGGGGGGGGGGGGTGCATAGCAAGTGGACCCCTCTCTCTGTGCCTATGAGGCCTGTGCAAAGATAAATTGTGTGTGTGTGGGGGGGGGGGGAATCAGAGTTTGCTTGGCTGATTCTGAACAACCCTGCACTGACAAGATGATCTTTTAAAGAGCCACTTAAGACATTTTCACAGACTAAAGAAAAACGTATAGTCCTCCAAGGGAGAATATATTAGACTTCAGAGCGCTATTGTTGTTCACTGGACATCAGATGTGCTCTCCTTTTTCTGGAATCATTAACAGGCCTCTGCTGAATAACTCACAGTCAGCCCTTGCTCCATCACAGGCCAGATCTAGTGTGTTTTTGCTTTATTTTTTTATTATTATAATTTTTTATGAGTTTATTGCAATGGGGGGAGGGGGGGGGGGGTGTCAGAATTTTGTGACAGGCCTACCACCACTACCACCACCACATGTCCTAATCAGATAATGACATTGTTTATTACACTTTTTTCACAGATGCCTGTGGTCTGTCTGATGTGGCTCATGTGGAAAGTTTGCAGGAGAAATCGCAATGTGCATTGGAAGAGTATGTTAGAAGCCAATATCCCAACCAACCAACCAGATTTGGCAAACTCTTACTCCGTCTACCTTCTCTCCGCACTGTGTCCTCTTCTGTCATAGAGCAATTGTTTTTCGTCCGTTTTGGTAGGTAAAACCCCTATAGAAACCCTCATTAGAGATATGTTACTCTCTGGAAGCAGTTTCAATTGGCCCTATATGTCCATACAATAAGTACTGAATAGGGGAAACTTGAGGGCATAACAAAGGAAAAAACAAAAAAGACTTTTTGGGGGTTGTTTTGCTTAAAGTTTTTCTTCTACTAAGGCTGTTACAAGTTTACTTACAGAAGAGGGAAAAAAATTATTGGACTGTGAATTTAAAAAAAAAAAAAAAAAAGACTATGATGAACTCTCACATAATGCATTTAAAACTGTCTCGTTCAGAACAACTTGCTACTTTTTTTTTTTGTAAAAAAAAAAAGAAATATCAAAAACAAAAAACAAGAAATTTTAGTCATTTTTTTTTTTTTGGTAAACTATCGCTTAAAAAGTGCATTTATGGAATTGTGGAGGAAATTAGCAAGAAAGAAAGTTCTTTTTTTTTCCAAATTTTAAATTGTCCTGTGTCTATGTATCTATAGCTGTTTTCTTTCCTTTTTTTTTTTGTATTTTCCTGGTTCCAAACCAGTTTACTCTGTGGTTCTATTAATTTTTTTTTATATATATATTCTTGACTTAAGAAAGAGAAAACTGTATCCTTAAAATTATATGTTCTGTAAGAATTAAAACAAAGTCCATGAAAGTATCATAGGAAAAAAAATGGAACTTAAATGTTAAAAAAGGAACTTAAGTTTGGAAGCGCACTTATAAGTGATGAGCCTAATTTAATTATTGAACGCCAGATCTGTAATTATATCCCCATTTGAACCACATAAGTCTCTTCACTACACAAACAGATTTTTTTTAATATTATTATAATTATTATTATTTTATTTTCACAAATAAACTGTGGGGTTGAAGTGAAAGGGACGCTGTATATTAAGACAGCAATTTAGCTAAGTACAGTTTTTTTTTGTTTTGTTTTGTTTTTTTTTTTTGGAAGGGAGGAGGGGGCAATTGTGTTCTTTGCAGTATTCTCCAAATGTTCTGAAGCTCCTATAACTGTTTGTATATTTGCAAATCCCTTTGTATTATAATTGTTGATATTTCCATTTTTTTTTTTTAAAGAGGAAAAGATACAATTCAAATCAGCATGTCAGATAACACTGTTGGCACTTATAAATAATGTGATTGATTCGGTATCTAGATTTTACAGTTTTGTGTTAAAAACTGAAGGTTTTATATTTTTTTTGTTTTATTTTTATTTTATTTTTTTTTTTCTAAGTGCAACTTTTTTTTCTGTATACTGTAAAAGTTATAATAACTGAACTGTTTTTGGTCGAGTCTTTGTGTGTTATATTCCAAGAAAAAAAAATGAAAGTATTCAGAAATTAAACTATTATTTGATATCTGAAAACCCTTTGGCTGTGACAAGTGTCTTTCAAAAAAAAAAAAAAAATATATATATATTAATAATAATGACCCTTATTACATATTGTTTTATTGAGAGGGGATTTAGCCTATTCTGCGTTGGGGACCCACCAAAGCTATGCTATGGAGTATCTGCAAGGCAGAAGGGGTTAAAATGACTGTGTGTCCCTCCACTATGTTTGTCCAAACGTGTAGCAGTGTATTTGCATGCCTAATTCGACAGGAAACGCTTAAACCAATGGTTTATCTATGGTTTAAGAGGTGCTGTACAATATTGCAACCCATTCTTAGTAACCTAATCCCCCTGTTTAATTAAAAATGGATTTCCAAGAAAAAAAAAAAAGGCCCGTACTTTTAAGTGCCTGCAGAGCTATTTTAGCGAAGTATTATATTGTTAAACATCCGAAAAAAAAGGAAAAAAAAATAAGAAAAAGGTCGTCTGCATCTATTTTATGAACATGAAAAAAAAAACTATTTTGTAAATATCTGGTATACACGCACAGGATATTTGAAACATATTTGTATATACAGGTCAGTTGCTTTATATTGAATTTTTTTTTTTTTACTATTATCATTTCTTTTTTTTTTTTAATTTTTCATCTTGTGGTTCAATATTTTTCTGGTGGCCATTGATCATTGTGGGCGATGGGGGTTGACTTAGTTTAGACAGCTGAGGGTCTATTTTAAAAGAAATCAAGTAACATCTCTTTTGGTGTGTCAGGGTGGAGTAGATTTATAAAAAAATGAAGGAGATTATAGGACTGAGTGTTTTTTATTTTTTTTTTAGTCAGGCTACGACTGTCCAGGTGCCAATGGATTAAAAAAAACAAAAAAACAACTTGCTTCGCTAGATCAGGGAGGCATGCTGAGACATGTAGTGCTTTGTCAGCTGGAAAGTTGCAGATGCCCCCCCCCCCCCCCCCCCCTTCCTCCTAGACATTTGAGTCTATGTGCACCCATCACCTTATATGCCTCCTATCCATTGTAAAAGACTTACTTCTCAGACATCAATGACTGTGGGCTAATATTTTGTACCAAAAATAAAAAAAAAACGGGCCATATTTTCAATATAGTGAAAGGTCACTTTAATTTATTGTAAATGCACGCCTGGACCATGGACTCTATGATTGACTGGAACTGATGATGGCGTTTAATATGCACTCATGTATGTATAAACACACATCTTACATGACGAACACATACATATGCATCCATACACACACACTCTGGGAGACGAGAGTGAGCTGAGAATTACATTTGCAGAGTATTGCTGACCTCTAGGTTTAGGTTCCTCTATTGCAAGTCATTTTTGTGAGTGTATGAAGTTTTTTTTTTTGTATTCAAAGTATAAAAAAAAAAAAAAGAAAAAAAAAAGAACAAATTCGCAGGATCTCGTTTTTTGTGTTAGCTTGTTGTAAAACATGTGTTGTAAATTGTCATTGATATTAAATTATAATTTATGAATTTGAAAATCAAAAAACCCAGTCCCTGTCCTTATTCTATGTGTGCAGAATGGAGCAGTATCTGGTGGGAGTGTTTTTTGTTTTTTTAGCACTCATAGACTCATCTATATAGGTGGATGGTGGTTAAAAAAAAAAAAAAGAGAGAAAGCCTGCGTTTGAATGAATGTTTGGATTTTAAAGTTTTTTTTTTTTAGGATGCAAGTTTTCCTAGAACAAAAGATCTAGCAAGCATCTGAAAAAAAAAATAAAAGGACAAAAGAGGGGGTTGTGGGTGATTTAGGAGTAAGTTGTGTGAGCTGTTAACCCTTTGGGGGTACTCAAGGGCTGCCTTGGCATGGGGATGGGTGGGCAAGGGAGAGCATGGATTAACTCCATGCTTTATGAATTGTAAAATCAAAAAACCCATTCCCTGTCCTTATACTATAAGTGTGCAGAATGGAACAGTGTCTGGTGGGAGTATATTTTTTTGCAGCACTCATAGACTCATTTATATAGGTGGATGATGGTGGTGGTGGTGGAACAAAAACTGAATTTAAAAAGAAGAGAGAAAGCCTGCGTTTGAATGAATGTTTGGATTTTAAAGTTTTTTGGGTTTTTTTTTTAGCATGCAAGTTTTCCTAGAACAAAAGATATTGCAAGCATCTGAAAAAATAAAAAGGAAAAAAGAGGGGGTAGTGGGTGATTTAGGAGTAAGTTGTGCGAGCTGTTAACCCTTTGGAGGCACTCAGGGGTTGCCTTGGCATGGGGATGGGTGAGCAAGGGAGCGCATGGGTTAGCTCCATGCTTTACGAATTTGAAACATCAAAAAGCCGAGTCCCTGTCCTTATACTATGTGTACAGAATGGAACAGTATCTGGTGGGAGTGCTTTTTTTTTGCAGCACTCATAGACTCATCTATATAGGTGAATGATGGTGGTGGTGATGATGGGGGGAAAAACGAATTTAAAAAGAAGAGAGAAAGCCTGCGTTTGAATGAATGTTTGGATTTTAAAGTTTTGGGGGGGGGGGGTAGCATGCAAGTTTTCCTAGAACAAAAGGTCTTGCAAGCATCTGAAAAAATAAAAAGGACAAAAAGGGGGGGGGGGGGGGGGGGGGGGTGATTTAGGAGCAAGTGGTCAGAGCTGGTAACCCTTTGAAGGCCATTAAGGGGTGCTTTGGCACAGGGATGGGTGAGCAAGGGAGTGCAGGGGTTAACTCTTTCAAGATTGCAACACTGTATATAAGTGTTCTTTTCTTCTGGCTGCTCAGAGAATGCTTTATTTCTTCCCAATGCTGGTGTGTGTTAGCCAAACACGATCTCAAACAATAAAAAAAAAAAACACACAGTAGAGATCTTTGATCCACACCATCTTTATCGCACATCTAACATAGGCATGCCAGGGAAGGTGTGTGTGGGGGGGGGGGGGGGAATCCCTTATATTAAACCTGTGGACTAGAATAAGTGTGTGTGATCTGCTGTGCAATTTGCAGATGATCCTCAGTGATCACCCAGCCAAGCCTCCTTTTCCTTTCTGTTATCAAGGCTTAGAGCTTGTGTTTACTCTAAGAGGAATTTTAGGGGGTGTTTTAGTGAGAAACCAAGCGTGTGAAAGTATGCCTTTAAGCTTTGCTTGTGACTTGGTGTCCTATTAGCTGAGCCAACATGGAGTCTCTCAGTGCAATACAAGCCTAGTAATACAAAACACATGAGACAAGACAGGCAGGAGGACCCTACGTCTACTAGCCTCAGCAGCAGCAGGCAGGCAGGCAGCATAAAACAACACTGTGCAACTGCTGAGACCACCAGAAAAGAAACACAGCATTCTCATCACCACACTTTCAATGGCTGCATGCCATTGTCCTCCCATCACATGGCCACTAAATACAGAATAAGCCCCTGCCTGCCCACCAGGATGGTGCATGGTAGTCGTGAGATGGTGTGTGCTTGAGAAATGCACAAGCCACATTCACACCAGCTTGCTGGGGGTTGATTTCCTAAAAGAAAAGAGGCAGCTGAAATTTGCAGGGGAAGTTGCACTTTGCAAGGGAGTTTGGCCCAGAGTCTAAAAAATTAGGTGAAACTCTACTGAGTTAAATTCATCTGCAAGCAAAAGATGGGTTTTTTGAGGGGATTTTCAAAGCAGGCGATTGAGTATTATTTGCAAAGTGAAATGTCATTCCATTCACTAAGCTCTGGGGCCAATCCGCTTGCTATGTGCAACTAACTTCATCCCATTCACCAAGCTCTGGGGCCAATCCC